TATTCATTAACGTTCTGGCCGTTCTCAGCTTGCAACAATTACAAACAGCGTAGACCACAAATTTAAAATGATTTAAGTTTACTATAAAATTATCAAAGAACATTAAAACTAGTAAATTTTTATTCTAATTTACATTCTTTGATAATTTTATTCTAAACTTAACCCATCAATTTTAAAATTTGTTCTATCACTTCATTTCTAATCATTGCTGAGAGTGTCACAGAATAAACAAAAATGTTCATGAGTAGAAAATAACCTTGTTTTTACATGGAAACAATTTATATATTTTTTTTATTATTAAAAAAAGAAGGTTTATTAGTGTAGAGACTAAAAATACTCACAAAACATTGTACAAGCTTGGCTACCTGCATTAAAGTGCGAAGAAAACAGATGATGATGCATTAAAAAGAAATTCTAACCCACTCAATTAATTATTGTCTAATTTTGGAAAAGGATTCATAAATTTCAAACTATAAATATATTCAAACATTCAAAATATATAAAGATTATATTATGCTAAAGACTATACCTCACCTAAGAAATATATCACCTTGATTCAATGCTAAACATATGCAAATAAGTATTATAAATACTGCATTTAAAGGCAATAAGTTTTTTCACTGTGCTTCTATCAATACTTTCAATTAAAGAATTGTTGCTAAATTATGCTTATAACTTAAATTTATGTTCACTTCAACATAATTACATTTTATTGATCTGGGGAATTGCTCCTGATGTTTCCCATACAAAAAAGGAAACAAAAACACCAACATGAACTCCTGATCAACAAAACCGTAATGACCCCATTCTGAAGGGCAATACTTCTCAATTACATCATTTTATAATTGTTTAATATCATGTGGCAGTTTTTATTGTTAAAAAGTGTTAATTTATAAATCTTCTTATTACAAATTCATGTATGATATTGAATATATTTATTAAATTGGATTTCTTCAATCCATCAAGCCATTTGTTAAATTTAATAAATCATCAGTATATATGGATCATAGCAGATAAGAGTGATTGAATCTAATAAGATTACCCATTATACTGCAATATTATACGAATGAATTTGCAAAGATTAACAATATACATTCTAGCAAATATTTCTGTGGCAAATCAACAATGTTTTAAGACACTACATTATACATATTGCAAGCATTTACTCGTGTTTTTTGATTTCTCACAATAAGCTTAAATATGATAACAATTACATTGTCTAAATAGAATATAGCAGAACAACAACAATTATAACAATTTTAAAAAATTAAAAATTTCACTATATATTCAATAGCTATCGTTTATATATTTGGCAATCAAGAAACTTTGATAAATATAATATTTACATTAATACAGCACAATTTAATTGTTTTATTGTTCTGAATTTCAGTAGTTATCATTTCCTACTGCTGAAAATTACAGGCAAACTGCTTTTTACTACTAATTATCCTTTATAAATATATTGAATAATTATTGTAGCTGCTGTGACATTTGCTTACTGATAATGATAATGAACTAATAAGTAAAAATGACTACAATTAATTCTAATTTTATTGACTCTTACATTAAAAGGACAACTGAAAAATATAATTAATAAATCTTCAAGTTATCAATGTTTATTAATTACTAATTCATCTAGCATACAACTAAAGTAAGAAATAACAGCAATTTAAATTAACTGTATTGCAAGCAAAGCATTTAATTAAAATCTTATGCACTCATTAGGACTGATAACAATTTGCATGTTAATAGCCATACACATTGAAACCTACAGCATAAAAGTTAGCTTAAAAATACCTATTTATCTGAAGATAATTACAGTAGAGCATTGATTATCCGACCTCCGATCAACCGTCACATTGGTTAACCGACCACGTTCTAGTTGGCAAATTCAAATGTCCGCTAGTGATGTGGCGCTACAATATTTGGCTATGTCTTGGTTACTTTAATATTATTTTTGTTAAATTGTTGTGTGTCACTATGGTAGTTATGGTGATCGTTTCTTACTACTATGGCCCTCAGATACAGATTTAACAGTTTTCCATCTAGCTAAACTAATTTTTACTAATATTTCTATACAAATTCCACACTAAATGTCACGTGATTGAATGTATTCATTGATAACACATTCGTAGATTACTAAAATTTCTATAATACTGCAGTAACCAAAAATATCCCTATGGCAAGTCACACCCCGTAATAGCCACACCAAAAGTCACATTCTGACAATCTGCTAATTTGAAATCACAAATTTGTTTCGTCAAATTAACAGGCGATCACTAAATACACTTGAAACAATGGATAATATGCAAAATTATGATTTTCATTTACAAAATCTCGAAATATAATAACAACNGAATACGGTCGCAATTTTTTCGCCATTATATACGAATCCGAACTATATGAACTCGTTTTATAGTGAGGTCTACTGTAATTTTGGTGGCACAACCCAAAGCCATCAGGATATCCGTTGCTTCTTCATTTGAATAACTCATTTTCGTGAAAACAGAGGAAACGAGAAAATATACAAAAATAAGCAAGATCGATCCTTCAAAAAGTAAAAATTCAGTTTATTCAAAGGCTGCTTGTTCAACTATCTGATACAGTAAGATAAAGAAGAAACTGGCCGACATTTCGAAAGCCGTTAGGTTCAATAAAATGTAACCTATTACGAAAGGTGTTAATTTTCTGGCGTACAATTCATATAATGGCTTAAAAGTGCTCGCTGTAATTAAAAAAACCTATTTTGCTTTGTATTTAAAAAACCGCTGGTTTTCGTGGTCATCCAAAATTGTCCTGTCTTCTCTATAACCTGGCTTATTAGTGTCTTACTATCTCCAACGGTTTTTGAAGAAAACCTAACGAATGCCATCAGCCAATCATTTTATATATCAATAGAATTTATTTTCCATTATCACGTAAGCTTTTACGCTTTCGACATTACAGCATTGGACGTCACTTTACAACTACGAATTTGATACACACGTCGTGGACGAATGTCGCCATTTTTGCGCAATATGTCGTTTTGCACACGAGTTTAACGTCTGCTTGTCATTCTTTTAGAGTTAGAGTTGTCAGTATTGACTGGAGATTCGGAGTTGGTGAATCCATCACAGTGGCGTAGCGTGGGTGTCAGCCGCCCGGGGCGGAGGAAAATTTCGCCCTCCCCTTATTTAGGTATTTCAATTTAAAAAGCTAAAATTCAATTTCGTCACAGAATAAGTAATGAAAAATTCCGTGCTAGCGAGTGAAGTAAAGAATAGTGTGCATGCCGGTTCTAAATCAGTTACAGTTAGCGATTAGGGAGACTTGAGTAGAAGTGACCTAGATGACCTAGCTCTATTGGATATTGCAGGTTTATATGAATACGAATAAATCGTACAAGCAAGAAAAAAAAAGTCGACAGGTCGCGCACGCTATACCCAGGTAAAATTAATAGTTCACCCGAACTGTCCGGACGGTAACACTATTCCATGCTCATTTCAATCGGTCCGAATCGTAGGTGGACGTAAATATGAAATAAAATGGTTCAAATTCTTACAAGATATTATTATTTATTGTGAAATTTTGCCGCCACCTAAAAAAGTGCCGCCCGGGGCGGGCGCGCCCCTGCCGCCCCCATTACTCTACGCCATTGATCCATCAATAATTTGAGATTCAACCGTAACTCCAACTCTTGTGATTACCAGGCATAGACATTTTCTGATAGATTTGAAAATTTAGAGCGGGTTGCCCTTGTACTTTACGTTTATTAATTAAGTGGGTTCTTGCTAGATTTTATTGAAGGTTTCGCTGTCTTCGCATTCTTTTCTGTTATTAGTTTAAACAAGGGCTGTGGAGTCGCGTAAAAATCTACCGACTACGACTCCGACTACGGGCGGATTTGTTACAGAAAGAGACCCGGAAATTCTGATGTCATCACGTGATTTCAGAATAAAAGATTCAATAAATACAGTTCTAATAAAGATAGAACGTCTTTTAGCTTTGGAATATAGTTTTATTTCAAAGCTAAAAGACTTCTCTAAGTAATAGGCTTATATAAATATGTAATCGATACATTTTACTTTTCCGGCTGTTATATATAACAGAGGAAAAGTGTAGCGCTCGGTCAAAAAATGACCCCTCCCAAATTTTTACATTTTTGGATTCGGGACACCTCGAAATTTAGAGATACGCAAAAGATTCGAGGTCTTTTTCTATATGTCTGGATGTTAGACTGTGTGTGGGGGGGGGGCATGATTTCGTTCACCCTGTTTGAAGCTTAATAATTTCCGTGGTCGGAGTGGTCAGATGGTTTAACACAGGAGTAGGTTATTAAGCGTCAAAGTAGTTGAACTAAATCGTGCTCCCATATACATTCTAACATCTTAGGCGTGAACGTCTTAACGGGTTTTATTGTACTATTATAAAATGTCAAAAAAACTTACTTTGAGGGTAGAGACGAGTTTTATTTTATTTCTTTAAATTTTAAACGCTAATAACGAGTAAAATATTTATTAAGAGAAATGACACACGACCCCTTTTATGTCTTCACCCTGTCGATCTTTAATTAAAAACCAAACTTTAATAGTATTAATGCCCCTTTATACGCGAGCTACATATGCCATATTTCGTTTCTTAAACTTTACCCATTCTGAGATAGCCCAAGATATAGCCAAAGATTGCAGCGCCACAGCACTAGCGAAAATTTAAATTTGCCGACTGGAATTCTTTCGGATAACCGACGCTCTACTGTAATTCCATTAGACTCAATTCAAAATTTTGAATATTTTTCATTTATTCTAAGATTCTTTCTAATCAATAAATTTGTTGGTGTTCACGTTAACTTATATAAATAATCAATTCACTTTAAAAGCCTATTATTGAAAGTACAGTGAGAGAAGTTCCACAATTTAAATAAGTAAACAGTTAAAAGTCTTCATAGAAGTTCCTTATTTTCGAAAAATTGATTTTGTCAATTAAAATTCTTAAGAGAATTTACATAAATGAGGCGTAACAAAATTGATAATGAACTGGATTGATTAATATTCTTCAAATCTCAATTAAGTTTTGTGTACTCATTCAACAGATATCAATTAGCGATTATTAATTTAAAACACCGCTATTTCACGCGTTTACATATTTATAATTCGTGTTAGTCCCAGTACATAATTCTGTTTAGCAGGACTAGATACAGCCGCTACTGCCCCGAACTACTTTTCAAGTAAGTTTTCGATACCTCTGACACCGAATGCATTTGTTTTATATTATTAAACTTAAATAAGAAACTGAAAAATATCGTTTACCAATTAAATTACATAAAGTTTCATTCGATCAAGATTTCGTAATAGACTATTAGGCCGGGGACAAACTGACTTAAGCGTGACTTACACCGAACACGAAAGGCGCGAAACGTAACAAAGCGAAAAGAGCAAACGAAGAAACGTTCGTTAGAGTGTTTGTAGCCTTATCAGTCCTACACTCTCGTGCGTAGGACACACGCGTAATACGGGCACATCGATTAATCGATTGCTTGATTTCGGGCTTAAACGAATATTTATTCAAACGTCAATTCAACGAATAACTAATTTCCGGATTTTTCCCATAGTTATGAAGCCTCAGAAGGAATCTAGAACTTGTCCTACTTGTCTGTTGAAACCAGTCTTGATGGCAATTCTAGTGTTCGGAGTGAAATTCGTCAATCCTTGCCAATGTTCCTGTTGGGAGGAAATCTTAAAATTCGAAAAATATTATAATATTTACTACAATATTGTGGAAGTATCGATATGGATCGGGGTTTCGGTGGTCCTATCCATGTTTACTAGAATCGAATTGATTTGCAGCGAGATATTCGCACTGTTCGGTGACGGCATTATGCAAATAAAATTTGTTTATCTTTTCGTAGCATTGTGCATGGCTCTGCAAAACACCATATTGAAACGGGCACAAATATCCTTCGTTCAGAAGAGAAGCAGTTATGCCGGAGAAGAAAAATTATCAAAAAAAATCGAAAAAGTCTGCTTGTTGATGCTCTCCATCATATTCTTTATATCGGTATCGTTCTCCTTTACCATATCTGTCGTCACCTATCCCGTGTTGAAGAAAGAAGGCTGTCACGATATAGTAGCGATTGTATGTTGTTTTTTTATGCAACTAATTACGATCTTTGCTTTAGGACAGACAATGTCGGTAAAAGTAGCAGAAATCTTGATATATCAGATCATCAACCGAAGATACGAGAAGTTGTCCGAGGAATTACAAGAAATGAATCCTCGATCGACGTCTAGAAATGAAATTGAAAGATTCATCGAGAAACAAACCGACGTGTGGGAAATCGTTCGAGAAATAAACGAAAAACACAAGTATTTGCACTTAATTGAATACGGACTGTATTTGTATTAAACGTGTTTTCTAGTGTACGGGACACTCTTTGTCAAGATGCCAACCATCCTACAGTTGGCCATGTGGTTTGTAGTATTATCAGTAACGAGTGAAACACTTTTCTTTGCTTTTCTTCTGTCGAATTTCACATCGAAAGTAAGTACATCATCTTGATTAAGTTTATTTATTTATATTTACACTAGTTGTTACCCGCGCGGATTTTACAAGCCAACCTCGTTTATATTCAGTATTTCAACAACCATAGTAATTGTTATATAACACCTACCGCCGAGAATGACGAGAATTGCCCAGAATCGAACGAACTATTTTCAATTTGATCAATTTTCTGGAACGTTTACAATCGTTCTATAATCGAACCAATACGCAATAAGAAATTCGAATTTAAAACGGTTCGAACATTTTTAAAATGGAAATAGATAAAAATATCTATAACAGTGTCTGAAATGTTATCAATTTAACACACCTAAGTACTCGATGAAGATTAAATCCTCTCCCTCTCCCCCCACGGGAAATTTCGAAAAATTCTTTCTTAGTGTGCATTCCCATAGCATACCCTACTTAAACACAATTAAAAACAAAAAATCGCATCTAAAATAGTACAGTAGAAGCCGTTTTTCCGGTTAAACCTTAATGCCGTCCTTTTTCCCCCGCGGGGGAATTTCGAAAAATCCCTTCTTAGTGAGCGTTTTCATGACGTACCCTGTGTACCAAATTTCACCTCTTTAGGTTAAGCGGTTTGATCTGGGCGATGATGAATCAGTGAGTCATTCAGTCAATCAGGACAAGCAATTTTATATATATAGATTATTAAAATTAATGTACGATTAACGATCTACGGATCACGCTTTTCTTAAGTTTACTTTATAATCTACGTAAAGATTTGTATATCATGTGTATAAAAGTTACAATAATCAACACGTCGACGTTAACTAAAATTTATTTGCCAATTAAATGAAGTGTACATGTATTTATTTTCTTTTGTAAAAGTCTTCACTACATATATCATTTTTTTTCAACAGCTGTACGACAACTTTTCTGAAATTCGAAAATTGGCCGTGTGTAATTTATCTCCAGTGTACAAGTTCAAGGTTTACATTATATTATTTATTTCAATAATTTTCTTAATATTTTATTCAGTGTTATTTTCTTTTTGAAGATTCTTTGCTTCGCGAAGAGATACGGAAAGACTCCTCTGGGATTCTCTATGGCGGGATTCATTGTTGTCAAGAAGGACTTCTTCATTAAAGTAAGTGCAAGTGCAAATTGCATCCGCACTTGAATTCGTTAAAGTTATTATTTTGTTTTACTGTTCTGCAGGTGGCCGAGGGCCTTTACTCGGTATTCAACGCCTTTCTTGAATTAAGACGTTCGTTTTCCGCTACAAAGCGAAATTGCGTTACTTCGTCGTTATCGTTCAACAAAACTGCGGAAGTTTTTTAAAAAATGCCTGCGAGTCTCGAGCGGAAGGTTGAGGGGACCATTAGGATAATTTTTTTTTTAATATTAGGATTAAAATTAAATAATAACAAAGCTTGAAAGGGATAATTTTGTTGAATTATTATAAATATCTTCATTTTAAGAATATTAAAAAAGACACTGGCAGTAGCTAAAAGTCAAATTTATATATGGCATTCTCTGTTATCAAATTATAATATAAAAGTTAGTTTTTAACACTAATTGTTGTTATTGTCCAAAATATTCTTAATTTTGAGTTTAGAGACGAGTTTTTAAAAATATTGCAAATGCCAATAACGAGCGAAATTTTCATTAGTCCGACTCATCTCTGAAACGTATGACACGTGACTCTCTCTATCTATCCATCCTCTCGAGTTTTTCAAGATCGTAAAGTAGGACGACTGGAGACCCAGAATCTGGTCTCGTCTTTCATCACCGGCCATACTCACTGTAGACGTGGCGAAATCCATAATGGACTTGTTAAAAAAGATCCTCTTAATGCCCACAGGTTGGAGAGAGCTTAAGGTTCCGTAGTCCAAAATTTAACTTTTGACGCTTCTTATATGCGAGTCATCGCGCGAAATTTCGTCTCTTAATCTACTGTACATCCCGAGATATTAAACGAAATACAAATTGCTAAACAAAAATTATAATATCGCTATATGTTATATTAACGTAATATAAGTACTGAACAAAAAACAGAGAAATGAGACACGAACCGTTAAAGTCTATGACGTGTGCCTTACTGGCCTTACTTGTAGCCTGGAAGCATTATATGAACTAGCTGTTACCCGCAACTTCGTCCGCGGAGGTTTTGCAAGCAAACCCCATTTACATTCAATATTTCAATAACCATAGTAATTGTCATATAACACCTACCGCTGAAGAGAATTGCCGAGAATAAAACGAACTATCTTCAATTTGATCAATTTTCTGGAACGTTTACAATCGTTCTATAATCGAACCAATACGCAATAACAAATTCGAATTTAAAACGGTTCGAACATTTTTAAAATCGAAATAGAAATGTCTGAAATGTTATCAATTTAATACACAAGTACTCAACGAAGACTAAACGTAGTTAAAAACAAAAAATCGCATCTAAAATAGTACAGTAGAAGCCATTCTTCCGGTTAAGCTTAATCCTCTCCCTCTCCCCCCGCGGGAGAATTTAGAAAAATCCCTTCTTAGTGTCCATTCTCATGGCATACCCT